ACCCCTATTGATTTTAAAGGTCACTGGGTCAAAGGTCAAGGTCACAGTCTTCATACTAGGAAGAGTCCCTATTCCCGCCAGTGTAGTTTACATGACATATAGTTCCGTCTGTGACTGATGCTTAAAAGAGGAGTAATAGATTGTATCTATCTTTTCTTCTAAAACTACCACAAATGATAGTGTTTGAATAACCAAACTTACTTCACGTTCGTCTGCAAGACATGTCGGAATCACTTTGCCTATATAGATGAATAAACGTTTGCCCCTTTAGCTTTCTTTGCAATTAGTACAGTTAATGATTAAGTATTTAGTATTGAAGTCTTAATACCACTTTACGTTTATAACAAATTATTTATCATTCAGCGCGGCGAGGTGCATGTTATAATGCTTTAAATACATTATTAAAACTTAATTAAACATATGTTGATGTCCCTTCTAGAGATGAATAAAATTATTTCCGAGGCATAATATGCTTTTAATATTTGCATATACAATAGTTCAGTTTTAAAACCAACACACTATACACTATCATTCAGCAGTTGGTGTATATGCTACAGGTCAGGTTGTCATGTTGATGTATATATTTTATGCTGTAATTCAGAGTGAAACATCTACATACATGTACGTGTATACTATGTGTGCGTTACATCACTCGGACTTGAACTTCAGCTCGTTTAGAATTTTTGTTATTCAGACTTTTCAATTTTTTTAAGTAAAACGAAAAATTAAATATATACTAACTATACCTAAAGCGACATTATGCCTATCCATTTTACGTGCCAAAATAACTTAAATCTCGCCATAATTCCTTTTAATTTCATAATTTACGTCACGTGAACAATAAATAACTTGCATGGTCCAAGGAAAATTTCTATTTTCATCGAAATTGACTTGTAACGGTTCAATTGATGAAATGAGTGGGACATTCTTGTTATATTTTAGACAGTTATATTTTATACTTAACACTTATCAATATCAAAGGTTTGCCAATCATCATTATAACAGTTAATCTTCTGAAATATATACTAAATATATCACTCATAATACTCAACTTGACAATGAAAATATGAGCATAATGTCACTTTAAACAAATACGTTATATGACCGGCCAGAGATTATGAGTAGCGTTTCAGGTATCATGAAAGCTGCATGCCTCCAGATGACCCAAAATATTTCAAGAAAATAAAACTTGGAAAAAACCATGCTAAAACTTTGAGAAAAATAAACAAATTAAAGATTCAAGTGATAATTTATATCTCATGTGCTATTAATTTTGTATTTTGTAGTATTTATCACCATATTTCTACTGCGTTACTAACACAGTAGGGGCTATTTATGCATATTTTGACCTCTTTTTGGTAATTTACGTCGATTTTAAGTGCCGATTATATTGTGTCAAGTACTTTCTTTGTTCATTTCACAATATTTTACCTTTAAATACATCTTCAAAATTTTCATGAAAATTAGGATCAATCTGGAGGCGTGCTGCTTGAAAAGCATTTCTAGTTATTAATCTAAATAAATTTTAGTTTTGTCAAAGTGTATACTTTGCCAATGTATGCTTGTAGATAAATCATTTACCATTATTATTTTATTTCTTACAGTATAAACACATTGCTAATGTTTCTAAATTTCATTATTATAAAGGTCATTTAAGTACAAAATACCATGCTTTAATATTATACTTTTAATAATTAATTATAAAAGAAGATGAAAACATTTCCTTACAATGGTTTTTATAGTGCTTTTGTGTGTGTAACTTTCAACTATTCAAAATTAAAACGAATAACATTTGTTCAGCTTTGAAGAATTGAATTGATTGTCATTTTCCAGCACACTTTGTTTTCATTTACTATCACTTCCACTCAGTTTTTTGGAAGATTTAGATATTTTTACAGGAGTCCATTGTGCTATACGTTTGGCAACTCTCTTTCCCTGCTTGTTTTGATACTGCTATACTTCAATATATTTCCCTAAACCTTTTGTTTTAAATGGACTTCTTTCTTCATCTTTTAAAGGTTTTCTAACAACAACTGGAATGAAAATTTCTTCATCACAATAATCTTCATATTTCTGGAAGACATAAAGTCGTCTATTATCACGTGAGAAATAGACCTGTTCTTCTTCCAGATAAATCAATGTAATTTTTGGAATCATTTCCACTGTAACTTTACCGGTTTTGAGATCTTCTAATGTATCGTCTATTTTCCTGCCGTCACTGAACTTGGAATTAATGGTATCTTGGGAGAAAAGTACTTTGTTTGGTGAAATTTTCTCTATTTTCCAGGATTCATCTGTGAATGATAAAACATAATTGTATTATTCATTATAAGATTGCCTTCGTTGAACGGCTAATAAACTTGCACTGCCTTATAAATGCTTATAAAAGATGGGCCAGGCATAGTTTGAGCATACGCCAAATCAACATAATTCGTCAATGCATAAGTTTATTGACGTATGACCTTAGGTTTGTGAAATACACCACACAAACACTGTAATGTCAAAGACCGAGATTTTCATGGAATGGCACGTAAGTGTCACATTGAAGGTTCCATGATAACCGCCGTATGAACACATCTGCGGATGTTTCTAAATTCAAAATTTTACTATTTCACGTTTAAATGTTGAATTCTGCTTAAGCCGGTGCTAGGGGGCGTGGACGGTAACTTGCACTTTCCAGTACCGTCCATGAACAGGCTCAATCAAACCGAGCCTGCAACATTTTCAATTTTGCTGTGTTGGGCTTTCTTTAGGGATTCTATATTTATCTATTTTTTGAAGAATATAAGATGCTTATTACGTGAAAACAAGATTTGAATGTGAAATTATGTGTAATAAATGTAGCAAAATGTAAATAAAGTAGTATTTTGAATTCCATACAAAATACTAGGTCACTACAACTGTACTTATTGCCGAAAAGCAACAGAAGCAAACAAGTTCAGGTAACAGGTCAAGCTGGTTAAAGTATTTTTAGAAACTATAACTGAACACCAAAACTATAAAACTTTTGAGAAATAAATATGAAAACACTTCTAGTGCATAATGGGCATTTATTTGTGCCTCTTTTAGAACTTACGAAATGTTACTATGCATGTACATGGGGTATTTCTGGAGAATTCAATTAAAAAAAATAACACATTTAGTTCAAGAAAAGTATCTGAAACAGTAACTAGGGTAAAGGATCGCAAATACGGACAGATGACAATTTCGGACACCAAACTGTATAAATCTAATATCTTATAACTAATACCCCATAGGATTAAATTAAATAACCTACTTTTACTTTGAATACAAATATCCTTATCTACAATGTGAATTATTATGTATTCTTAAATCCTAATCAAGCAGGCCCGCTGGGTTCTTTCCCTTTTCGTTACCGAGTCGGAAAGTTTAAGATAGATAAATACAGAATCCCTAAAGAAAGCCCAACACGGCAAAATTGAAAATGTTGCAGGCTCGGTTTGATTGAGGCTGTTCATGGACGGTACTGGAAAGTGCAAGTTACCGTCCACGCCCCCTAGCACCGGCTTAAGCAGAATTCAACATTTAAACATGAAATAGTAAAATTTTGAATTTATAAACATCCGCAGATGTGTTCATACGGCGGTTATCATGGAACCTTCAATATGACACTTCCGTGCCATTCCATGAAAAGCGGCGTATGGTCCCCAGGTAATAAAAAGCGTGTGCCCTAAACGAGAAAACAATGGGCGGAACTAAATAAAATGGAATTTTGAAAGGGGATCAGAGGTTATGAAGCCTGCGTATCACAGATAAGACGTCAAAAGACAAATTTAAAAAGCAGGCAACATATCCTAAGGGTGATTCAACATTATTCAAGTAGGAATATTGGAACCACCCAACTAGAAAATGCCGAAAAGTTGAAACTAAAAATACCACAAGCACAACAATAATGTCGTGCTGAACGATCTTCAAGGATCGAAAATATAACATCATTGATTAAATGTACGGGGAGACTTTTTACAGCCGCCACACGGCACAAATAACACGGATGTGATCATAAGATAGATAAATACAGAATCCCTAAAGAAAGCCCAACACGGCAAAATTGAAAATGTTGCAGGCTCGGTTTGATTGAGCCTGTTCATGGACGGTACTGGAAAGTGCAAGTTACCGTCAACGCCCCCTAGCACCGGCTTAAGCAGAATTCAACATTTAAACATGAAATAGTAAAATTTTGAATTTATAAACATCCGCAGATGTGTTCATACGGCGGTTATCATGGAACCTTCAATATGACACTTCCGTGCCATTCCATGAAAAGCGGCGTATGGTCCCCAGGTAATAAAACGCGTGTGCCCTAAACGAGAAAACAATGGGCGGAATTAAAACCGCGAAAATTCAAACAAGAATCACGGTGAGTATATTTCTCAACGATTATCCATAAAACAATTATTCACTGTCTTATTTGTGCTTGACATATGACATACTTTGTCTTTAAATGTAGAAATTGTCGAAGATATGTGCAAATATACTTTAAAATCCCTAAAAATAAGAAAAAATAAAGTGTCCGAATTTCCCCGATCACTACTTATGGGCAGCATTTAATTTCGAACCAGAACATTTTTAATTTCGGACATGTTCTGTACATTTCAAATATGTCCTCGTATAATAAGGTTCGTTGCTATTAAACCACATTTATTAAGCATAGCTTTCGGTTTCAGATCTTTGAGATGGCTAGATAATCTAAAAACATCTATAAAAAATACGACGACGATTTGATTAAAGCAGCAATAGATGTCATAAAATCTTGTCAAATGTCATTGCGTAAAGCGTCACAACATTATGGTATACCAAAATCAACATTAAGTGACAGATTAACAGGGAAGGTTGCCTCTGATGCTAAATCTGGTCGTCCTCCTACAGTGCCATAAGTTGTGGAAGCAGACATAGTTGGACGTGTGACAACGGCAGCTGGGTGTGGTTTTGGCATAACAAGGCGAGATTTCTTGATAAAAACAGGCCGATTATGCAAAAAAATGGGTCTCAAAACTCCATTCAAAAATGGAATACCAGGCAAAGGTTATTTCCAAGGTCTTAAGAGAAAACATCCATCTATTGTAATCCGTAAGCCAGAGAAGTTGGGTACATCTCGAGCCAGGTGCCTTAATCCAACTATTGTTAACCGATATATTGATGATCTTGGTAAACTCCTTATCAGTCTTGGAATTGAGAATAAGCCATCTCAAATATGGAACATGGACGAGACAGGCAAACAATTTGAGCACAACCCAGTCCGTGTAGTTGCAAGAAAGGGGGTGAAAAATTTGCCGGGTCGTACTAGTAATCAAAGGACCAACACCACCATCCTGGCATGCGTAAGTGCAAGTGGTCAAGCTATGCCTCCTCTTATGATCGTGAAAGGTAAGACCCAGCGGTCACTATATTCGTGGAACACGGCTGCAGCGCCCCAAGGGACTAAATGGGCCTTCCAAGAGAATGCATGGATGACAGAAACTATATGTAAGGACTGGTTTGAAGAAATATTTCTTCCCTTCTGCGGCAGTGCTAGACCCCAATTATTGATTTGTGATGGTCATCGTTCACATGAAGCACATGCACTCCTGGAAATTGCCAGAGATAACAATATTGAAATTCTGGCTCTCCCTCCCCATACTACTCACAAACTTCAGCCAATTGACAAGAGTGTGTTTGGCCCTTTTAGTGCATATTACAACGAAGGTTGTACTGAATTTCTCTCAGCTAGTCCTCATCACACTATAAATAAATGGTCATTCCCTGAGATCATTGCACGGGCTTGGGAACGTGCCATGACTGAAAAAATATAACTAGCGGATTTTCATCATGTGGTATATACCCCTTCAATCCACGTGCTTTACGTACAGAGGATTTGTTACCATCGACTATGTTTGACAAGCCTTTGCATGTCATCACCTCATCAGTTACACCCACCTCTACAATGACTTCGACAGCGCTTGAAGAGAATTATGTTGGCGTACCAGAAGTTAATACTACACTGAACCTAGCTTCATCAAGTACGTCTATCCCTTATGAACCCTTGCCTGACCAACAGATTGAAATGCCTACCCCCTGTGTAACACAGATTGTACCATCCATATCATCTACGAGCAATATATCTATCCTTACTCCAAAATTTTACTCGGACGACCCTAATGAAGCAGTAGAACTTCATGAAGCCACTGATCAAGAAATTTCGTACATTCTTCCTCTATTTCCCAAGATTATAATTGAAGATATAAAACTTTCTGGTGGGGATTTTTGTAGTGAAAATTGTTTGCCCAATGAAAATCAATCCCAGAATGATGAGTTGAATGCACTTGCTCCTTTGCCACAGTGCAATTGGAATGTTGACATTGATTCCATATTTAATGTCCCACAAAATGTTAATGTAAATGAAAGAAAGAGGAGAAGTACCGTTAGTACTTCGCACAGGCTACTCACGTCCAATGAAATATTGGCTGAAAAGAGGCAGAAGCAGCTTGATAAAGAAAACATCTTGCAATTAAAAGAGCAACGTCGCCATGCGAGAGAGGTAAAAAAGGCGGTGAAATTTATTCAGGATTAAAAAAAAGATCAATGTTAATTTAAAGGTGGGTTTATTTTATTACAGAAACAGTTTTTGCACATTATTCTTCGACATTTTCTAATATTCTAAGATTGAAAATTACATAACAATATACAATAAAAACAGCGCTACGATCAGGAAAAAAACCGTAAACTAATCTATTCCAAATAATTCTGTTTAATATTCAGTTATATTATTCTTTTTTAAAAAGCTCTTACTTATACATTTAAATTATATTCTGAATTTTTGTGAGTGTTTATTTAAAGAAAATATGAACACGCCAACTGCTGCTTACCTGATATTCTTTGATCGACATTTTCAAACATTTTAAGATTAGAAAATACATATCAATATACATTACAAACAAAGCAACGATCAGGAGACAAACTGTAAAATAATCTATTAAAAAGGATTATATTTAAAGTTCTCACTTATGCATTGAAATTATATTATGTTTTTTGTCTATTTACAGTAAATATGAACACGTCAACCGCTGCTCACCTGAGAGATAGAGAACTTTTTGGAAGTTTATCATTGTATATAAAAATGAAAGCAATACTAAACACTATGGTCAATTGTGAATACCTTTACGACCATCCGCTGATTGACGATATATTTGTTTATCTTAGAGACTTCGTCTGCTCCAATATTTGTACATTAAGAATGTTATATGAACGGTACAAGATTTTACGTGACATTTGTGAGGAGGACCAAAGCATTGTTTGGGTGGCACACTCATATGCCCTAGAAGTTAATGATTGTTACTTGTTGAATTTAACAGAAACTGTTAAAAAAGAATCACTTTAATGTTGTGCCTTAAGTGAAATGAACTGATACATATGTCAAAAAAGAAATAAAATATGTTTAAGTCTCTTCTGGCGACAATAATGTTACTTTTTTAAAAAATGAAAATGTGTCCGAAATTCCCCGCTTCTGTCCGTATTTCCCCGATTTTACTCGATTAACAATTTGTGAATTTTCTAAATAAATCAAACATGTAATTTGCAACTGGGAGCCAGTATAAAGTCCTTACATAGCATAGTTCCCGGCTAAAAAGGCTGCAGACGGTTAAATACATATTCGGAGCTAGACGAATGAAATTGGTCGCAGAGTGCAAAAAGTGTCCGAAATATGACGACATAACCCTATAGCATGAAAAATCGCCACATAATTTGACATACTAGTACACTTCAAATCTAGAGCGCGTGCAAATTATCATTTAACTTATTTATCTTTCTTTTGAAACGTATTTGTTACTCATCATTATTTTCGAAAAAAGCAACAAAGACATGTAATATATATTGTTTGTGGTATATTAAATTTCATCTATTTTACAATAAAAGTTTACAATAACCAGCAAAAAGTTTTAGAAATTCTGGTGTTTCTAATGCTTAAAATTTCTCACTTCTAAATGATTTTAAAAAAAATCAGTCAAAGATGTGTACAGTTTTGGTTTATTTATTGTGAAAAAACCTTAAGAAAAATCAAAACAACGGTGTTCCGTTAGGACCAACCCTTTTAATGTGGAATAATCTTGAAATTGCATGTCAATTTATTTGTACATTAATTTTAGTTGGTTGCTGCTCGCTGTCTGCAACATTTAAATGTCAAATCGTTATAACATATGCTTATCATTTTGCGAGGTTCGTGTGTGGGTATGTGGGGGATTGGAGAGCATTGTAACTTATTGGTACTTCACAGTTATTTAAGTCTTACCGAGCCTGCAACATTTTCAATTTTGCCGTGTTGGGCTTTCTTTAGGGATTTTGTATTTATCTATTTTACTACCTCTTATAAAATGCAAATTCGCTTTAATTATAAGAGAAAGTATATCACATCTCTACATCGCGTCAAATGAAGAGAACAACTTAAAAACAAAAATATGTAAATCAAAAATCTACATGCCTGTTGATTTGAACTCATCTGTATTTGGATTATCCGGTTTCTTTCCCTCGATTCCAAGTAAGTTGTTGAAATTGTCCGAACTGCTTGTACCTGTTCCAGATGCATCAGCTACACTCTCAGTGTATTTCCTTACTTTAGTGGGCAAAACATCTTCTTGGTTATCTGCTGAAGAAACCGAAGTGTTTGCCGAGTTTGGTTTTCTTTTTGGCATTTTCAACAAATTTTGTATGTACCAGTGATATGATATTGTGTTTGCAAATCAATTTAGCATGTGTCAGAACACTTAACTATGCTTAAACATGTCATGTAAAGTACAAAAATACTCTTAATATTGTTGATCTTTTCTTTCTTTCTTCCAGATCAAATAAATTGATTTACGTTAATATTTGTATGAGATATATACAAAATATAGTTTAAATAATTAATTTAGTCCGTAGTACAATATTGTATCAAATTGAATAAAAAACACACTGTACTTAACACTACAGAATACACAAATATGTATAGATATATGTATAGATAGTTGTGTTACAACAATAGAAACTGAATTATCATTATCAAACAGTCAAAATTTGTAGCGATAATTAACTTGTTATCTGACATTTTTCCTGTTATACTATTTGCGATATGATTTACTTGGAGATGGCCCCGATGTGGTTTCAATGCAATTAATTATCATCTGAAAAACGTCGACGGTCACATTATAATAGTCATTTTATACGATAACGTGGTACTACAGTGTACTAAACTCACTGAAATGACATAATATGATATAAATATCTATATATTTAAATAAAATGAAATAGTGTATAAAAGACGTATCTACCTGAAAAAGGTATTTTGTATAAGTGGTTAATGAATGTTCAGTGTAAATACTGTTGGGTGTATATAATGATCAGTTTGTTGTATTAATGTATATATGGATTTGAGATAGAAAAAGATAAAAACCTAAAAATAGTTTTAACTAAACAATTACATCCTAGTTATCCAACTGAGAATATTTCAATTGTAACAGTCAGACGGTGCTGCTCTGCCTAAATATCTTGGAAATTGGTTTAACTTTTATTACTAAATCTTTCCTGGAATTAAAAACACCAAAGTAGGTCATTCTCCTGACACATAGATGACAAAGAAATTAAGCTGTATACATGTATACATATATGGTTGAAACAAAAAACTATATAATGTGTGGAAAATATCTGATCTGCACCGGGACACATTGACTAAATACCAAACAATTTCTGACGTAATAATTTATATCGATATTCGGTACAGTTTTAACAGTTTGAAATAGAAATTGATTTTACATTTTGTTAAAAAGATGCGGTTTTGGATCGACCAATTCTTATCGCAAATCAAAATTTGCATGTGATATTGAAATAAATTGTGTCTTCGATTCTGATCTAAAATGACATTGCAAAGGAAAACATATACACTAACTGTGAGTCATGTCTCTATTATAGGAAAATGATACCAAGAAAAGAATTGAAATTAAATAGTTGTAATATACGTAAGTTCTTTTGGTCCTTTCTAATCAATGCACAGCCGCAAATATATAAATCAATCAACCAGTCAATCAACTAAATAAATAAAAAGTGAATTGATATATTAAACAAATATTCGGGAACAGACTTCTAACGTGTCATTTAACAACTAATTTTGCAAAGTCTGCAACCAAGTTCAAATTGGAAATGAAAATAAATAGTTAGGCTATAAGTATGGCAATTTAATTTTCAGATGCGACATAATTTTGTGAGGTATTTTCTAAATTTAAAGGATAAAAGCCAGTGATATATATATTTATAGGCTATTTGTTTGTTTGTGTAAGATGAAATTTTATTTAATCGGGAGAATATTGTTTTTAAAGTTCACAGCAGTTTTTAAAGTTATTGCTCATAGGATACTTAAACATGTCCAAATGTCAACAAGAGCAGTTTTGCATGATGAATGAAGTGTAATTATCAGACAGTTAAGGAATTTGACAGTAGAGACGAATCAGTAGAAAGGACTTTGGTAATTTAATGAACTGAAGTAAAATAGAGTGAAATAAGAATCCCTAAAGAAAGCCCAACACGGCAAAATTGAAAATGTTGCAGGTTCGGTTATATTATAACAGTAAGTTTTATCTTTATGATTGCGCTTGAAATTTAATGTATTGAATACCATGTATTAATTTCAGCTTAGTTTTGCTCTAAACAACGATAGATAGATCGGAAATGTAATCATAAATAAAAGTGAGGTACCGCATGGGGTAAATCTTTTGCAAATATCCGGGCATTTCCCCCAGGAGCATTTGCCTTTAAAAGAAAAAACTAAAGAAATAATTGTCACTCCGTA